TTTTTGATACCTAATTCAATATTAAATAGGTATTAAATTCTTTATAGTTTATTTACTTTGAAATTATAAAATTGCATATATTACCTAACTAAAAGTTTAAAGTAGGTAAGAGTACTTTACATTATACTTATTATATTAATAATTATTGATTTCATATTTTAACGTATTGAATAGATTAGATTATGTTATTTATTTTACAGCTAACTAATTAATACCTACCTAGTACTTATTAGTTTTTAATACACTTTTTTAAAATATTTTTTTTGTTCACAATAATTATTGAAATAGAATTACATAATTAGTGAGTGAAGATAACTGTGATTTAGGAGTACAAACTGTTCAGTTTATCTAGTTATTGTGGTTTGTAAAAAAACACGAAAATGATAAATTTAAAAAAGTGTTTCGTTGGTCMGCTTTATTTTCAGATAAAATATTTTTTGTCCTACTCATTTGTATTAATGTATTACTCTTAAGTAAAAACGTAAAATTAATGATTAATTAATAATATATCTTTGACCCCGAAAATCAATAATACGTATCGCTTACAATTAAATGTATTTAACCATAAGAACACGTAAAAGAACTTGTCGGTTCTAAAAACGAAAATATCGTAARATGTAGAATGTAGATACATTAATTGTTGTATTTTAATAATTTTCTTAAACAGACATCCAAAAGTCTAAACTACATTGTAGCATTGTAACTAGGTACAAGGTACCAGACTAGTGTTATAATAATAATATAGTTATATATTATAGAATAAAGTAAAATAGAAATATTGAACCATGGACTCGACCTAGTGTGTATACGCGCGCTCATCGATGACTCACAGCTATTCAACTTCTGTTACTATTTATTTTTMTTTTACATTAAATATAGTGTTACTGTTTATCGATTGTCTATTAAAAGACACATTTTCAAATAAAGGAACATCGCAAAAATGTTGATGGTTAAGTTGTGCATACGCTCGTAGAACACACAAAAAAGAAACTAATATGTTTATACTCATTGTTATAATATAAGAGCTAAATGACCGTTGGAATCTCACCCGCATTCGACCCCGCTTCCGGTACAGAACAGACGGGCATTGAGTTGTGAAAAAAAGTCGTTATACAATACTTGGGTGTTCAGTGATAAATACAGGAGGTTAGAGAGAAAATGTTTTAAGACTAGACGGTCATAGGACATCGGGTTCGTAATTAAAACGCTTTATTACGTATGCGGTATACAGGTTACAGGCATAAATGTCTGAATAGATAAATAAATAGATAATAATAAATAATAATAATAATAATAATAATAAATAGACATTTAGTATAAACGAACATTTTTGTTTTTTATCTTTAGATTAGCAAACTCCGAACAAGCGATCTTATTATGACGAATGATTTATGTCGCGAAAAATAATAAAATATTTAACATATTAGATTCGTCGAGTAGGAGAGAAAATTAAATTAATTTTTTTGCAAACAATCAACTTGGCATAGGTTTTGATTTGTTATATTTGGCCGGAAAACGGTCCAAAAAAAATAAAAATCTATGTTTTCMGTGAAAATGATCAATATAACATTGTCCACAAACGTCGCGTTTCGGAAACCGGATGTTTTATACATTCCAGAAATGTACTGTGACCTAATTGCACTATCCTAGTAGATAGACATGCGCGTCTTTACTCTGTGATGCACACAGAGTCACAGGATACAGACATCTGATGATATTCAGATCAGATAATATTAGATTTAGACATATCGTTTTATTCATATCAACATTATGTCTTTCCACGATTTATTAATATCATGAACGCGATTTCTATACGTACACAATATTATATAATAATAATAATAATAATAAACGCATTATAGTTATCACGTGTACACTGTATACAGATATGGTTTAAAATAATATGTATATAATATTATAAAAGTGTTCGTAAACGAGTAAACGACTTTGGCTGATTGTCGAAATACGGGGAAATACTCAAATACCAATGGCCGTTCGCAGACGGTGTCGATGACCCGCACTGGAATATTTTGTTTTCCGAGTTTGTATTAATTTATTAATAATATACTGTTGTATTAATAAATCTAATTTCGTAACATTATATCTATACATTGGTACTTGCAATTTATATAAGAGCACGTGTGTGTCTAATATTAAAATATCAACATTAAATTTATTGTACGAAAACTTGGACTAATATCTCGTTAAAAATTCCGCGAAAAATGTCAAAACTGTACGATTTGAATGTTGTTTTAAGAACATAAATCATTGAGATTTCGAAATTGGCAYGAAAAACCGTACAAAAATAATATTAAGTAACAAAATAATATATGCATTATTGTTACAATTTAGATTATGTACCATACAGTYCACCTCTCTTTAATCGGTCGATACTGGATATTCGATATTATGTATAAAGTATATACTATGAAGTATGAACTAATATACATCAGCGAAGGACATTAGGTGTATCTACTAAAAAGGAATATTATTTAGTTTTTAGCAGGGTATTGAAATCGTACTTGGTATGTCGAAACAAGTAATTGAACGATGTAAAATCCCTTGAGTTGACAAATTAATTTAATGTTTAAATCGTATTCAGACGATTTAAAAAGAAAAAAAATTGTTTTTTTCGGCCAATTTGTAATGCAATTTAAAAAATAAACATTTTCAACTAAAATCGTTTTCAAAAAATTACAAACAACGAAAAAAGTATAATAACGTTAATATCCTAAAGAATCTTAATAGGCAATAATCAATGAAGTTTGAAAAAAAATCAACTTTGCATTGTAAAAAACAAATATTAATCTGAAACTCCAACAGAAAAATGTATAAGATAATAGAAATAAATATTTCATAAAACACATTATTCTATTTACAATTACAGAAAGTTGTAAAACATTCACTAACGTCATAAATGTTGCCTTGAGACAGAATGTATATGTAGGTTCCAATTTCTAACAAACAAAATTAAATGTTTCACGGATTCTCGAGTTCCTCAACTCATAGAACGGTTTTTATAAAAAATTAATCTAACTGGTGCGTTTCGAATAGTTTATATTATCATCACACCATTTCCATTGTTGCCCCTTCAACTCCATTAACAAACAATCAACAAAAAATTAACTCGAATATTAACATTAATAATATCATCAATACCTACGGCCCAAGTCGTATTTTCACAATATTGATCATTAATAATATATATTATTATTATTATTGGACATAGGGTATTGATGTATAGGGCATCGTGATATGAATTCGTCGATCATTCGTTTATGTGGGTATA